CACCTCCCACCCCGTCTCCGCCTCGCGGAGCCTGTTATGAGAAAACTTTCGTGCAGGGCAAAATATGAAATAAATAGACGGGGAAGAGGCAGGGCGGGGGGTGGGAAGAGAAAAATGTAAGCTTGACACGGGGTCATGAGATAACTGATTAACTCTGTTTAAAAGCGCTCCGGTTCCCCGAGGTAACCGCTTCGTCTCAGAAGTTTAGCGCTAAGAAAATGGGATTTCTGTTCAGCTGGGAAACCGTTTTGAACATCCCACGACAGGGGGTCCTCGGGGGCTTTTTTTGTATGTCATAATTGCTTAAAGGATATATGGCAGCCCCGATTACTGTAATTACCATCAGAGGCTGTTGAAAGAAGTTAGTCTGGGCTCGGGGGACGGCGGGATGGGGTCTTGTTACCACCCAGGCAGACATCGCAGCTGACATCGCTAGACGCCCACCGGCGGGCAGGAAAGCCAGGCCGGAGCCTCTTTTGCCCGGGAGCCCCCCCCGGGACCCCCAGGAGGGGTGCCCAGGCCCCGGGACAGCGGGTCGGGCTTTTCTATGCGCTGCTAAAGCCGGTCGGGCTCGGGCCCCGGCCCGGGGCAGCCCCCGCCTGTCCTAGTCCCCTCGGGGCCTGGCCGGGTCGGGCCTGGGGGTCCCTTTCGGGCGGTCTCCGGGGCTCTGGGGGGGAATTCGGGGTCGGCAGCGAAAGGGGCGGCGGTGGCCGGGGGTGGCCAGCGCGGAGCGGTCCGGCCCTGCGGGTTTTCTCCTCTGCAAAATGTCTCCGGCAGAAGCCGGGCCGTCCCTCGGGGAGGAGGCTCCCCGGCCCTTCCCGCTCTTTCCCCGACACTCGAGAAACCCGCGACAACGGCCCGGGGCGGCTTCCCACGGGCCCGATCCCGCTCCGGCTCCCCGGGGAGTTTGGGCAGCGCGGCCGCCGGCAAGCTTGGGGGTTTTGTTGGTTTTTTTTTTTTGCCGCTGTCCCCTTCCCCTCCGCCCGTTGTTACCGCCACCGCCGTCCCGCTACTATTTTCTTGTGTTCCCCTGCGAGGGGATACCGGCGAGAAAAACCTCCCCACGCCGCGGGAAGGGGGGAAAGCAGACGGGAAGCCAACCCACGCCGGAGCGGCGGCGGCTCGACCGTAACACCGGGGCCCCCGCCGGGCTCCGCGCCGCTCGCCTCCCCCCCACGCACCGATCCCACCGCCACGCCGCGGCCCCCGCCAGACCACGGACCCCGCCGCCGCCCACTCTGGGTTTCCCGGACCCCGCGGATAAAACGGGGGGGACGGACGACCCGGGTCAAAATCATGGAGGGCAACGGCAAAGGAGAAGGCCGCGGGGCCGGCGGGGGGGGGGCGGGGGGCGGGCGGCGGGGGGCGGCCGGTGGCAGGTACCGCGGCGGGTCCCTCCCGGGCCCTGCCTCCCGTTTTCCGCCGCCCCGCAACCCCGGGAGCCCGCCGGGGCGCAGAGGAAATAACTGTCCGACCCGTCACTTGTCAGACATTAAATTGGATTGAGTATTTTTTTTCCCCTTTTGTTACTGACTCCATCCATATTACAAACTCCCGAAAAGTCCCATTGGGATTATACGGATCGAGCCGTTCTGTAAGAGCGGTTAGTCATGCTTTAAATTCCCCAGTTATGAGGTGCATGGATTTAGGATTAAGGGAAATGTGACTTTTAAGTTGTTTCTGCTTTCCTCCTTGCAGGATTACTCGTTGTAACTGGAAATGGTGTGCAAAGTACCGCATTTAAAT